ATTCAGTATATATTAAGTAACGATTTCATCAGTTTGCACCCACACAGAAACACAAAGTGTAAAATACTGTTTGAGTACTAGCTATAGCATTACTTCACATTGGACAACACACTAAGGACAGATCCCACATGAGAAGTAGGTACACAGTGACTCCTGTTGTTGACTTAACAATTTGACTCTTGTTTATGGCGTCAGTAATCTCCCTAGGCTCTAGTCATGAGTTGCCAAGGCTATGGAAGCCTTTTGGGTTTGCCGACTTCGATCTTATTCTGACAGGGTCATAGTCAAAGTGGAAGTTCTCTCCTCCCTTCAGAGAAAGGTACCTCCTTTTTTTATGGCTCCATTCTTTCCACTGGGATCTCACTCACGGAGATCTTTCATTTAGGTTTTTTTTTTTTTTTCCCCAGGGTGTCTTGGCTTTCCACACCTAAAATACTCTCCTGGGTTCTTCAGCCATATCCGAATGCTATAAGGGCTGATTCTGAGGCCAGAGTGCTATTTAGGACATCTGCCATTCTATGAGTCTACTGTGTATCCCGCTTCCCATGATGGATTGTTCTCTCCCTTTTTGATTCTATCAGCTAGTATTAGCAGACACTAGTCTTGTTTGTGTGATCCCTTTGACTCTTAGACCTATCAGTGTGATCAACTGTGAACTGAAATTGATCACTTGGACTAGTGAGATGGCATTGGTACATGCCACCTTGATGGGATTGTATTGGAATCCCCTGGCACGGAGAAACACTTTTAGTAAAAATGCAGATTACCGGGCCACCTCTAGAATAACTTCAGTAAGTCTGAGGTGGGTAATTCTAGCAATCAGAAAAGTTTAGGAAATATTTATCCTGTGCTTATTACACTGTGTGATACCATCTCTAGTAGCAGCCATGGTTACCATCTGGTCCACTAGACTGTGAGTCGTCCAGTGGGCAGGGCCATGTCTGATTCAATTCCAGATCCATAGCTTATAAAACAAGATCTGGCACAGAAAATGAAAATAGACTCAGTCAACAAAGAATCAATCCATTAATCGAATGACTTCATAGTCCACCTAAGAATTCTGACTTAATTCCGGCTTACTTGGATACTTGCTTGGTATTCTATCTGCCAAACAAACTAAAACTACGTGTGTCCTTTCTGCATCCTCACCTCTTTCTAGTATCCTAACCATCATCTGTTTCTCAGTCTTCCACCAGAAGGACAGGGTCTGCCATTCTAGATGATTCCTCCAGACTTAAATCTAGAGCTTGGCATGTTTCTCAATATCCACACCTACTTTTAGGTCTGGGCTGTGTCTCTAACTCGTTGTCTGTGGTTGTGCACATTTGGGTCTCATTACCTCCTCTCTTAAGTGAAACAATTTTGCAGCATGATTTCAGAGGTCTCTTCCAACTTTGTCATGTTAAAAATCCTCTAGAATCTAGAGTTGTTGGCAAATTCTGTAGGATGTCAAGGTCTTTCTCAAGGTCTTCATGTTGGCATCCTTTAGCTTACTGGTTGGATGAACAGCTGCAGTCTGGGATTTTCCTGAGGTCTGCTTTGCTGGTGGGTCCAACAGGCTCTGGGCACCCCCACGGGCAGCTCTATAAATGCTGGCCGCCTGATGGATGTGTTGGATGGAAAGCCAGCTGGACGAGGATGCATGGGGAGCCTTGGAAAACACAGCAGTTCAAAGGCAGAGGGCCGTGCTGAGTAGGTGTCCAAATGCACTTAACCCTCTTAGGCTTTGAATTCAAGCTCCTTCGGAAAAACACAAGTGTCTGATTCCAAGGGAATGGCTTCTAGTAATAATAATAATAGTAAAAGGGGGCTTTGAAGGCTTCTTGGAAATCAGTTTCTATAAAATAGTGTTTTGAGAATTTGAGTGCAAGTCAAGCAGAAACACGAGTTGAAATTCTTCCCTTTCATACTCATTCTTTTTCTAAATTTGAAAATAATGTATTCATATGGTTAGAGAATGCAAACAGTACAGAAAAGTACAAAATAAAAAGTATAAACCTCACTTCCTTCTTCTTTGCTCATCCCTAGTCCTACACCTTGTATTTGTGGCTGATTGTTATGTGAATTAAAAAGAAAAACAATAAAATTATTGTGGTAAGATGTGCATAGCAAACTTACTATTTTCAGTATTTTTCCAGTGTGCAATTCAGTGGATTTCAATATATTCACACTGTTATACAAGCACCACCACCACACATCTCTACAATTTTTTTCATCTCTTTAAACTGAAACTGTGAACCTATTAAACAGTAGCTCCCTATTCCCCCTTCTATTGACCTGTACCCAACCACCATTTTACTTTCTGCTCCTATGAATTTGGCTACCCTGAGTTCCTAGTAGCAGTGGAATCACACAATATTTGTCATTCTGTTTTTAGTTTATTTCATTTAGCGTAATTTCTTTTTTTCTAGTAGTTTGCTATAACTCTAACTTATATGCTTACTGAGTGTTATTTGATTTCTCAAACTTAAGTAGGATTAGCCACTTCCTTGTAGTGACCAGTCTAGCACAACTGCTCCACTTCCAAAGTCCTGTGGCACTCTCCATTTCTCATGTGATTATTTTTAGGTCTTTAAGTTGAGATCTTTTTCTATTAAACCCAAACTCATGCCCACAGCCTGCTTGATATTTTTACCGGGTTGAAGAATAAACAACTCAAAGTGTCCAAAACTAAATTCTGGTCTTTGGCCCCATCTACTATTTTGTGAGCGTACTTCAAAAAGTTCATAGAAAACGGAAATAAAGGAGAAGTTTATGTTGGTGCAACAAAACTTGAAATCCTGCACCATTTTTCTTACTGTTTATTTTACACAAACTCTTTGAACACCCCATGTTTCCATGAATTTAAACATTCAAAAAATGTTTAAATGAATGAATTTTGAGAAGTGCTCTCACACGTTCACAGTGTCAGCTTCATTCTAGTAGTTGTTAAGGTCCCAAATCATCCTCCACATTCAAACTGATGGCAACTCCTGTTGACATCATGTCAAAAGGACTCGGACTACTTACTCACGTGCCCTAACCATTGTCTCCTCTCACCTGGATTGTTGAAATGTTCCTACTTGCTTCCTCTGGTCACACAAGGATAGCCCCTAGTAATTCATTTAAGCAAAGGTCAAATCGTGTCCCACCTCTGCTCAGAAGCAGCCAATGACTTTCTATCTCATTCGGAATAAAAGTGACAGTCCTCGTGATATATCAGGAGGATCCATGCTGGCAGCTTTCAAATGTAAACAAACACACTGGAGAGTCATCTGGGGATGTTGTTGAAGTGCAGGTTGTGATCTCGGGTGATCTAATGCTGCTGCTTGGGGGGCCATAATTTTGTTGCAAGACTACTCTATCTCCAGACCTGGCCACATTCTCGCCATACCTCTCAGCCTGCCTCCTATTACTCTTCTCTTCTCTGGTTTGGCTCCAGCCTCAGCTGCTTTGTTGTACTCTCCCACTTGCTGCTTCCTCTGCCTAGAATACCTTACCCAAAGGCACATGATATAAAGTTCACTCCCTCCCCCTTCTTCAGCTTCTTGCCCTTGTATCTGTGTCTTCTGAGGTCTCATTTCCCTGTTTAACATACAACCCTTCTCCCTGTGGCTGTCCCTTGTCCCATCCCTACTTTATCTTTCTTTATAGCAAGGGTGTAAAACCATGGCCTGTGCTCTCTGGGTCAAAGTATGCCCACAACTTGTTTTTGTAAATAAAGTTTTATTGAGACAAAGTCACAAACGTTTTAAAATGTATCATTTAGGGATGCTTTCCAACCACAAGGGCAGGGTTAAATGTCTGGGACAGAGGACTTACAGAGCATTATAAAACCCAAAATATTTACTATCTGCTCTTTACAGAAAAAATCTGCTGACTTCAGATTTGTAGCATTGATCACCATCTAGATAAGGCACTCTTTTATTTGTTTAGACTCTGTTTTGCTTCAGTAGAATGTAAACTGTGATAAAAGGGCTTGTTTGTTTTGTTTACTGTTATATTCCTTATTTGTAGAATGACATCTGGTTTAGAGTCACTCAGTGCATTTTTCTAAGTGAATGATTTATTTAAAGATCAGTTTTTTATTTTAAGATTTACTTATTTATTTGAAAGGCAGAGTTACAGAGAGAGGAAAGAGGAGAGAGAGAGAGAGAGAGAGAGAGAGAGATGGAGAAGAGTTCTTCCATCCACAGTTTCTCTACCCAGATGGAGGCAATGGCTAGAGCTGGGTGAGGCCAAAGCTAGGAACCTAGAAGTCCATCCGGGTCTCCCATGTGGATGGCAAGGGTCCACCACGTGGACAATCTTCTGCGGCTTTCCCAGGCACATTAGTAGGGAGCTGGATTGGAAGTGGAGCAGCTGGGTCTTGAACTGGCGCCCATATGGGATGCCAGTGTCTCAAATAGTGGCTTAGCCCTCTGTATCACAATACTGGTCCTGGTTGATTATAAGTTAAAAATACTCATAATTAGATTTTATTTTGTCAGCCACACAATATTTACCGATTTATGTAAAAGGACACTACTGGACTATAAGTTCTTGCCTGACCCCTAACCTTCTTTCCTGACTTCTAATGGCCAACTTCATTTTCATATTGTCAATGTTGATAACAGCTGCATTCTGTACTATAATTATTATGAAATATGAATTGCCTTGTTTACCAGTTGATTGCAAAAGGGCCCAATGAAAAATAAGAAGCCATTTTAGACAGTTGTTATTGGGTAAACAATATTTACTATGGAATCTGGGGATGTAATTGAGTCCATGGAGAGAAATCATAATTCTAAAGCAGAATGTGTAAGGGGGAGTATTCCTGATATTGCAGTAAATGGATTCTCTTTTTCCCATCTCTATCAATTGCTTAAAATCATACACATTTGGGTCATGACTTCCATATACAGACTCCAGCTCTTCCCACAGTTCCTAATCATTCTTTCTAATGTCTACGTCAAATATTTAAAATCATCTTGCCTCTCAATTCTTTGTTTTTGAAACAGAATTCATGTTTTTTTTTTTTTTTCATAAACCTTCTATCCTCACTTTGCCAGAATGCTCACTAGATCGGCTGCATAGCCATCAGACTGGTCTATACATTTTATTTCTGAATGACTTCCATGTTATCTTGAATCATGTGAGGGTACTTAAGAATATGGTAAAATGGAATTAAAAGATAGGTTTGTTTTGGTGCAAAAATGTTTTGAAATCCATGCATAATTTTTTGGTCTGTATTTTCTATGAACTTTTTGAAGATATTTGGTATAGGAGTATTTTAAAAATATTTTTAATTTATTTTTATTTGAAAGGCAGAGATAGAGACACACACACACAGAAAAAGAGAGAGAAAGAACCCCCATCTTCTGGTTGATTCTCTAAATGACCCAATCACTTGTGGGATGGGGTGGGCTGAGACCAGGACAAAGCCAGGAACCAGGAATTAACCCAGGTCACCTCTGTGGCTGGCAGGGATTCAAGTAGTTGAACCACCATCTGCTGATTCCCAGAGTGCCCGTTAGTAGGAAGCTAGAATTGGAAGCAGAACCAGGGACTTGAACCCAGTCACTCTCATATAGGATGTGTAGTATCTTAAACCACTCCGACAAATGCTGACCACTATTTCATTTTCTTATCTTCCATTTTAGTTTTTCTAGATCATATCTTTAAGTAAATATTTCTTACTGCTCTAAACACATTTATTGGCTTAAAACCACCCAAAGTTATTATTTTACAGTTCTGTAGGTCAGATATCTGACATGGGTCTCATTTGGATCAAATCAGGTATAAGCAAGGCTGAGTGCCTTTCTGGAGGCTCTTGGTCTCTTTGCATTTTCCAGCATTTAAAGGCTGCTTGTAGCCCTTGGCAAGTGGCCCCGTTTTTCCATCTTCAAAGCAAATGACAAGACATGTTACAGAGAGAGAAAGAGAAAGGGAGAGAGAGAGAGAGAGAGAGAGAGAGAGTTCTTCCATCTGCTGGTTTACTCCCCAAATGCCTGCAATAGCCAGTTTTGAGGCATTCCAAAACCAGGAGCTGGGACTCCATCCAGGTCTCCCACATGGTGCAGGAAGCCAAGCACTTGAGCTGTCATCTGGTCCTTCCCAGGATGCACACGATCAGGAAGCTGTATCAGAAGCAGAGGTGAGACTTGTGCCCAGGCACTTTGGGCATCCCAAGCAGCAACTTAAGCACTGCGCCAAACGCCTGCTCCTCTGGTCATTCTTCTGTAGTCACTCCTCCCTCTACCTTGTCACAGTGTGAAGTCACCTGCATTAAACACAAAAAAACTTACCTAGTTTTTAAATTGACAAATTGAAATTGTGTATATTTGTGGTGCACATTATGATGTTTTGGAATATGTATAAATTGAGAATGGCTGAATCAGGCTAATGAGGTACGTGAAGATTTCCTGCTTTGTAGGATTCATGTCAGGCTCTTAATTTGATCCATCTGCAAAGTCTCTTGTGCCTGTAAAGTATCATAGTCATAGGATTCTGGAATTAGAATGTGGACACCTTTGGCAGGGGAAAGAGCGGATCATTGTTTTGTCTACCATATACTTTTTCGGGATCTTCCCAAATGCTGGAACTTCTTTAATTAGCCTCACAGTGTTTCTGGAAGTCTAGGCTCAAAATATGTTTCCTTATAACTTTGCTGACACTCCTCTGTGACCCAGCGTTTAGGACTGTTGGCATCAGACGGAGGACAGGCTGAGCTGTGTCCCTTGGGAATATGAATACTGTCATCTCCTCTAGCAACCTCTAAGATTGTTGGCTTGAAGATTTCACCAGCTTATAAGTGGAAGTGGGGATTTTGCGTCAGCTTTGCTTTTTCATCCGTCATTGATCTCTCTGGAATGGTTCTCTCAGCCTGAAGAGTAGACTCTCTAGAGACCACGAGAAATAGTTTTTCATCTTTCTTCAGTACCATCCTATATATTTTTCTTCTGCACCCCTGAGGTGTTCACTCACTTTTGCACCTATTGTCTTCATGTCTGAAACTCATATTCTAGGACTGCTGAGCCTTCTGGATCTATTTTCCATGTAGATTAACTATTAATTGTCTTATATCTGTCTCTTCCTCACTGTTTGCTAAGTGTTCCTTGATTTCATCTTTCAGATTACCAATTTAGTCTTTAACCATGGCCTATCTATTATAGAACTTTCTATTAAAATTTTTCTGTTTAAGGTTTATTTTATTTCTTTGAAATGCAGAGTTACACAGAGAAAGAGAGGGACACACACACACACAGAGAGAGAGAGAAAGAGAGAGAGAGAGAGATTTTCCATCCTCTAGTTTACTCCTAATATGGTCACAGCAGCCATCACAGGACCAGGCTGAAGCCAGGAGCCAGGAGCCAGGAGCCAGGAGCCAGGAGCCTCATCCTGGTCTCCCATGTGGGTGCAGGGACCCAAGGACTTGGGCCATCCTCCATTGCTTTCTCAGGCACATTAGCAGAGAGCTGGATTGGAAGTGGAGCAGCTGGGGCTTGAATCAGTGCCAGTTTGGGATGTGGGCATTGCAATTAGCAGCTTAACCAGCTGTGCCACAGCACTGGACTCCCCCGTTAAAAATTTTTTTAATGTTGACAAACAGAGCTTATATTTCCTTGACTGCTTGTTTCTCATAGTAATGATGACTTCTCAAATGTCTTAGAGGTTACTGATTCAATTTACTTTGAAATTTTTCTTCTGATCTCTTGCTTATTTTTATTCCTTTTAGATATTTGTTGTTTCAGAATCTTTGTCTTTTTCTTTATCATCAGTTTTCCTCACATCTTGACCCCCTGGTCTTCTTTTGTTCATGGACCTCCTGTTTGTTAGCATCGGTGGCTGGCTTGGGCTCCCTATGTAATGCAGCGGGTTGATTTTCCCAGCAGGCTTTTTCTACAGACGGGAGAGCTGGTGGGGAGCTCTGTGCAGATTGGCAGGTTTTACCGAATGGCAGGCTGGAGTTTATTGTGCACAGTGGGGAGCAGAGGAGTTTGCTTGAGCCCTCACGATTTCCCACCATGAGTGGATTCTGGGTTTGGAGCACTGTGGCATGCTCCCCTCTGGATAGAAGCATACTTCTCCCCTTTGTTTCTAGTCCTGATGGGCCTGTGGACTTACACTGAACTCTTCTCTGCTTCCACCCACACTATGGACCACCCCAAGGCTGGCCTTGACACTATCAGCACGGCCATCTCTGCTTTCTTTGATCCCCAGGCAGAGTTCTCTCTGGGACTCCATCCGGTGATGCACATCACACACCACTGTAGCCTTCGTTTTGTATCTTTCACTGTGACCTTGTACTCTTGCTTCTACCTCAGTGGTCCCATGTGCTTTCCACAGGCCTGCCAGAAATCTGTGTAAATCTCTGGCTTGTAGATGCCTTCACATTCATATTCTCTCTCTCTCTCTCTCTCTCCTGCCCCACCCCATCTTGTTCTCTCTCTCATCAGAACTGCCAATGATTTATGTATTCTATATTGTACAACTGTGTTGTCTGTTCTATAGGATCTTATCTGGGTGAGATGCCGAGTCTGCCATATTGGATCACAAACCTGAAGTTCTAAAAGCCTGAACACAATTCAACTTTAAAGGAAATAACTTTTGTTGTCTCCATTTGGGAGCTCTTTCTCTCCTCCCTTCTCATCCTTATGGGACATGGCCTCTCCTTGGGGTTCCAGTAAGAGTATCTTGTGCTTCCTTTTATTACGCCACACTACATTATTATTTTTAATTTTAATTTAAATTAATTAATTAATTTATTTATTTTACAAGTAGAATTACAGACAGTGAGAGAGAGAGAGAGAGAGAGAAAGGTCTTCCTTCTGTTGGTTCACTCCCCAAGTGGCCGCAACAGCCGAAGCCGTGCCGATCCGAAGCCAGGAGCCAGGAGTTTCTTCCTGGTCTCCCATGTGGGTGCAGACGCCCAAGCACCTGGGCCATCTTCTACTGCTTTTCCACAGCAGAGAGCTGGACTGGAAGAAGAACAACCGGGACTAGAACTGTCGCCCATATGGGATGCCGGCGCCGCAGGCAGAGGATTAATCTAGTGCACCATGGCGCCCGCCCCTGTATTATTATTTGACTCTCTGTGTTAGCTCCTTGCCAGGTTGTAAGGCATTTGAGCGTAGGGTGTATGTTTGTATTTAGAGCCTCAGCACTAGGAGATGTTCAGTGACTGTCTCCACTCCACTTGAAGATGATATGGCATAGCTTTAGCTTTGAAGGATTCAAAGTACAGTGGGAAAAACAGACATGCAAAAAAAAAATCACTCCAAGACAGTGGAAAGCCAGTGGGTATAAAATATGTGGGCAAAGGCAAGGGAGAAGCTAACTGTGCCTGGGAGTGGACAGAGAGGTCAGGGAAATCCTACAGAGGAGCTTGACATTTTCCTATTTTCAAGAGCACATAATGATTTTCAGGGAGTTCCAGGTGTAGTAGAGCCTTCCAGAAACAAAAGAGACACCCACTCCAACCTAACTATGACTGGGGTATAGGGTATACTTGGGACAATGACAGGGTGCAGATAGATGAAGGTAAGAACACACTAAGAGCGTCATTGACCAAGATGAGCTTTTTCTTTTCCCCTATCCTGAAGGGAGCCTCTGGTGTGGGGGTGGGGCTAAGCAGGAAGTGGTATGATCATACTTACAGAGTTTAAAGCTGTTGACTGTAACATAGAGGGTGGACAGGTAGATTTCTGAGATTTAGGTCATCCATGCAATTGTCTAGTAGAGAAGGGATAAAAGTTTGGCCGGGGAAGTAAAAGCTGGGTTGAAGAGAAAGACAGACTTGGGAAATAGCAAGAGGGTAGAACGGCTAGGATTTGGTGGCTGGTTAATGGGAGAGAAGAGGCAAGCTTTCTGAGGGCCTGCTAGTGCTGGGGTTCTAGGATCCCATGAGCGCAGGAAAGGACATGAATTATTTTGTGTACAGTAAATCTCAAGTGAAAGGCAGAGAGGCTATGGCAGGAGTAATTTATGAGATTCAACTGGGCTGTTTCTGAAGTCGCAGTTTTGTTTTTGACAGTCAGGCGAGCCACTTCCTTCCCAGGAAATCGACTGGGAGTAGGATGTCCTGGAAAGATCCATGAGATCAGCCTCTTGTCAAGTTTGGATCAGTTTTTAAAAGCTGGATGAGCCTGCAACTGAATTGGATGTCAACTGTTGAGAATGCATCTTTGGATCTGAATGATTTTGATATGAAACAAATGTGATCGTCTGGTGAGGTTTTTATTTACACAGAATCTTCCTGATGTCCCAACCACATTCCAAATTTAACTCCTAGAGACCCTGCAAAGAAAGGGATACATTTCACCTGTTTTGCCTTTGTGGCTTTCTACTTTATCTTCATGCTCCTTTCCTGTTCCTAACCATGACAACACAACACAGAAATAAATGTTCAGGAAAAGGGAGGGAATACACCCTGTGCTGAACGCTTCTGTGTGTTAGGCACGTTCACCGATGTTGTCGCACGCACACTCACAACCACATTAAGATAAGAATTTTTGGGGCTGGCTTTGTGGCACAGTGTGTTAAGCTACTGCCTACGACTCTGGCATCCTATATGGGTGCCAATTTGTGTTCCAGTTGCTCCACTTCTGATTCAGCTCCCTGTTAATGGCCCAGGAAAGCAGTGGAAGATGGTCTAAGTGGTATGGGCCCCTCTTCCCACATGGGACACCTGGAAGAAGCTCATGGTTCCTGGCTTTGGCCTGGCTCAGCCCTGGCCATTGTAGTCATTTGGGAAATGAATAGAAGCAATTTGGGAAGTGGATAGAAGGTTCTCCTTCTCTCTGTAACTCTGACTTTTAAATCAATCAATCAATCTTTTTTTATAAAGATAAGAATTATCTCCAATGACAGATGTGGAAACTAGGTCTCTAAAGAGATCTCTAAGTTATTAAATAAGAGAGGGGGATTGAAATCCAGACCTATATGATATATCCGGTATCTATTACAGCCTGGCATTATACTTGCATTGCTTCATTTAATCCCTGCAGCAATGCAAAATGTAAAGGCTTGGAGAGGCTTAATTAAAAGAGGCTTAGCAAGATTGAATAACTCCCCCAAATCACTCACCAGAGAGACCTGGGGTTTCTTTTTCTGTTTTAATTCGTCAGCTAAAGGTAAACATGATATGCCTGAAGGTGTTTGAGGAAATATGTGGGAAATATATGCCATTGCTAGGAAAACCATGATGCTATTTGGATAAAGAGAAAGAAGACTTTCAGTTCCAGAAACTAAAATCTCTGCTTGATGGCCATTCTCACAGCCTTCAGAGATGGGGACTGGAGGAGGGGAGTAAGTGGTTCCAGGCCCTGTGCTAACCTGCTCCATATGCCACATGGAATTCCTCTTAAAAACTGTATTTTTGTATTTATTGGAGAGTGAGAGTGAGAGCAAGCGAGTGAGAGAGAGCGAGAGTGAGAGCGAGAATAAATGAATGAATGAGGGAGTTCCCATGAGGTGGTATACTCCCCAAATGCCCACAATAACTGGGGGGTAGGCAGGTGGGCTGGGGTAAAGCTGAGAGCTGGGAACTCAGTTCAGATCCCACATGAGTGGTAGTAACTCAGACACTTGAGCCATCACTGTTGCGTCTGGGTTCCGTGTTAGCAGGAAGCTGGAATCTGGAGCCATAGTCAGAGCCAAGCATTAAATGCAGACAGTCTGATGTGGGATGTGGGCATCCTGATCAGGGGCCTAACTGCTAGGCCAAATGCCTGCCCTGCTCCATGGAATTCTAATACTCCAAACAATCCTTTGAGGGTGGGTGTAATTATCCCTGCTTCCCACATGGAGAAGCTGAAGTTCAAAGGTTATGTGAAGGTTAAGTAACTTCCCCAAAGTTCCTACCCAAGCATGTCTAACCCCAAGCCACAGGTTTTCAGGATAGTGCTAACCCACTTTGAGGGCAGTTATTTAGAGAAACATGTGAAAAGGAAGAAGGTGATCAGAATGCAAATGCTGCCATTGGTATTTCACTTGGCTCCTGATGCTTCCCTGGGTAGGAGGTGAATAAGCGCCCTTTGATGAGATTTGCAGATGATTCTAAATCGGGCCCTTGATAAACATGAGCAGCAAAAATGCAACACAAATGATCCCAAATGAGGGAGGTTAGAAGTGCAGGCAGGAAATAACATGATGGGACAGATTACTACACGGGAAATTCTGAATGAAAGCATCTGGGCGATGTGAAACAGGAGACTGATAGAAGCACCTTTCAGGAGCTCTAAGTTCTGTCGTTGGGAAGGGTATGCATGCTCACTGTATCCAACTCCTCCATCTGCGGATGAGGAAGCTCAGGCAGCAGATGGAAATTCTCCAAGACCAGAGTCAATGCAGTCGCAGGGAGAAACTCCTTATCTCTTGTCTCCTAGTTGACTTCCCTTTCCACTACAGCTCATTGGTTTGGGAGCCAAAGGGACTTCAACCTAACACCGCCCTTTAGATGTTGTATGTCTTCAGGCATGCTACCTAGCTTGCTTCAAACCCAGTTTCCTTATCTGAAAAAAAAAATGGTAAGGTAATACATCTTCCTTAGGGTTATTTTGGAAAATAAGTGGAATAAGGATCGGCACCTGGCAAGTAGGGGTTCAAGAAAGATTAATTTCCTCACTTATTAACAGCAGAGAAATGCCTTAAAGGCAATAGCTATGGCCCAGGGTGGCTTGTGTCCATCATGCTATGCATGAATGGATGCTGAAGGCTTTGGAGAAAGATTGGCAGTGGATGTAAGGGGAGTAGGTAATGTGTTACAGCTGCAATTGACAGTCTCTTTAAGTCAGTGACTCAAAAATCAACCACAGAGGCCCTGCTATATGCAGGGTAGATTTTGTGTCACTGGCATAGCACAGACAGTAAGGGACATAGGAGGGAGGGGTAGTGACAGCAGTATGGGCTGAGGCTGTCCCGGGGGGGTCTGGTGGGACTAGAACTAGCTCTAGTCTAGAACCAGTCTAGTGAGACTAGAACTGGAGAGAATTGTTTTCAGAGCTAGTTTGGGAAATGATTTATGTATTGTATGCTGGCTAATATGAGAAGTGGGGGCACACTTAACTTGTCTATGGGGTGAGTTGTTCAGATGAAAGCATTGGCCTTGGAATCAAGTTTCCATAGAAGCTGCATTCACTGAATGTGGAATTTACAAAGGAGATGAGCCAAAATTGATCCTGTAGCTCTTAACCCCCACATCCACATTGAAGATACAAAAGATTACAGGTAAGCTAAATGGTAGGAGGGACAAAGAAGATTCGTGAGCAGCTTCCTTGATGCAAGGTATGCTTTGACTCCCACACTTCCAAGTTTTGGGTAGGGAGCATGATGTAATCTCCTTCTTTCAAAACAAGAGTGAGAGTTTCCACAGGTGCTACTGGGAGAGGTAGGCTCAGGTCCTTTCAAACAAGGGTGACAGCTGGGCTGGCTCTGACTCTAGGAAAGTGACCAGCAGAGGCAGCCTAGCTGGGCTGGGGGAGAGGTGGCCGCATTGCATTACCCTGCCTCTGAGAGGTTTTCAGGTCAAAGGTGCATGTGTCTGTATCCTGAAGAGTAGACAGAGACTATGTGGGGTGCAGAGTGGGCCTGGAGCCTCTGCCAGTTTGTATTAGACGGTTTCCATGACTAGAACAAAATTCCTGAGGCTAAACACTTATTTAAAAAGAGGTCTGCTTATCTCACAGCTCTGAAGGTGTAAGAGCATGGTGCCAGCCTCAGCCCAGCTTTGGTGAGGACCATGATGGTGGGGGCACTTATAGAAAGGAATGATCTCACGAGCAGACAGAAAGCCAGAGTGACTTAGAGATCATGCTTGCTCTTCTGACAACTCATTTTCACAGGAACTAACCCAGGGTCCCATGAGAACCATCTTAATCCCTTCTGAAAACCATGCCCCAGTAACCCAAGGAGCTCCCACCACCTCCCAATACCACCACACCGAGGACTAAGCTCCTCCCAGTTACACACTCTTGGGGGCCAAACAAACTGCTGTGGGCTGCGGGTCTCTTTGCTCAGCTTCTTGCAGGGCCTTCCCTCTACATGTGGAAGAAGAGTCAAAGGTGGAGACATAAAGATGTACAGGAGAGCAGGGCTTATTCCAAGCAAACAGAAGTGTGGACTCAACACCCAAGTAGGGCGTGAATAAACAGTCAAAGACACATGAAGCCCTGAACCAGGAAAACACCACTTTCCTTTATACTTTATACTCTCCAGGGGCATAGAGGGTGATGTGTCGGGTAGAGTCCAGCTGAATAGTCAAAAGGGAGCGGAGCACCACCTATTTCCATGCCCTTTGTCAGAAATATTGGCAGTGTCATGGCATCAGACACAGCATGGGAGTGGGAGTGCCTTCCATAATAATTTTGTTATAATGACCTAAAAGTCATCAAGGGGACAAATCCTGCAGCCACTTTGCATTTTCCAGCTGGCGCTGGATCGAAGTTGGCAACATTGAGAAACTTGTGGTTTCTGCTACATGAAAGGGGAGGGGACTTATTGGTGCAAGGGCCTGCATGGTGCCTAGAAAGGGAGAATAGGGTTGTGCAGAGAAAGGGAAGGGAATTTGGATAGTACACAGGAGACTTGTCATGCAGGTTGGACAAGGCTGTCATATGGGCAGGTGGCAGCTGTCCAGGGTGCGGCAGCTGCAGCTGTCAAACTTCGAATTGCTGGACCTGTCAATCAACAACCCACGCAGGTCATCGAGGAGCTGTGAGAGAGACCTTAGCTCCTCTCCTAGCTACCTACATTCCCATAACAAAACCATATCCAAATCACAGCAAATGTCTACCCACATCAACACTGGGCTGGGATATGTGACTCGGATTGTTCTGTGCAGACTGGATTGCTGGAAAAATGGGACTGAACAGGGAGAAGGGCAGCCAGCTGAAAGGAAACCCATTATTCATTGCATGGAAGTGGCATTAAGTGACAACAAGGGGGACCTTTGCAAATCCAGAGATCCCAGCCCCTGCCCCAATTTTACTCATCTTTAATCAGGTACCAGGACCAAAGAGTCAGCACTAGTTCATGAAGAAATCTGTGAGGTAAACAGTTTCCTGTCTCTTTGTTTATGAATGTCTCTTTTCTATTCCTGTAGCAGTCTAGAACTTGGAAGTAGTCACAAATCAGAGTTGGCAATTGAAGGAGGAAGATCTGAGTGACAAAAGAGCGAAGAATGGGTCTGTACCCCTTGCCCAGGCTGTGGTAGATGGAGGAGGAAGTCCACATCTTAAATGGATTGGAAGCTTTGGTCATTACGCTGACTCTCCTTTCTAATTCTGGCCTTGAGTGTGCACTTCTGAACTTTAAGTGGCTGACAAACTCCTGATTACCCAAGAGCCAGTGGGGAAGTCGGGAGACTTACCTGAGCTTTCATCCGGAATCCAGGAACCCCTCTGTGCAGTTTAGAAGGATAGGAGGCATTCACAGATAATTACTTTGTAAAAAAAAAATCTGAATTTCCCTGCCCTCCAGGCTTTGGTAATCAGCCTTTCCTTCCCTGCTCCTGTAAGTGAGGAGTGAGATCACGTGCCTTGTGGTCTTCTGGGTCTGGCTTACTTCACTTGCCATAATGTCCTCCAGGAGCATCCATGTTGCTGCAAATGGGAAGATTCCCTTCCTTTTAAAGACTGAATGCTGGGCCAGCGCAGCAGCTCAGTAGGCTAATCCTCCACCTTGCGGCGCCGGCACACCAGGTTCTAGTCCCGGTCGGGGCACCGGATTCTGTCCCGGTTGCCCCTCTTCCAGGCCAGCTCTCTGCTGTGGCCCACGAGTGCAGTGGAGGATGGCCCAAGTGCTTGGGCCCTGCACCCCATGGGAGACCAGGAGAAGTACCTGGCTCCTGCCATCGGATCAGCGCGGTGCGCCAGCCGCAGCGTGCCAGCTGTGGCGGCCATTGGAGTGTGAACCAACGGCAAAGGAAGACCTTTCTCTCTGTCTCTCTCTCTCACTGTCCACTCTGCCTGTCAAAAAAAAAAAAAAAAAAAAAGAATATTTATTTGAAAAGCAGAGAGATGGAAGGGGAGAGGGAAGAGACAGACAGATACAGAGAGCTCCCATTTGATAGGTTTACTCCCAAGTATCCTCAGTAGCCAGGGCTGGACTGGGATGAAGCTGGGAGCTATGAACACAGTCCAGGTCTCCTATGTGGGTCACAGGAAACCAATCACTGCTGCTCCCTGGGGTCTGCAGTTGTTGGGAAGCTGGAGTCAGGAGCTGAATCTGGAAATCAAGCCCAAACACTGCAAAATGGGCTGTGGCACCTTACCTGCCAGCCTACATGATCACTCGCGCAGTTACTGTTTTGATTGCAGCCCGAGAGTGTCAGTGTGAGCTGCCTGCTCAGGTGTGATTCATTGGGTTGTACTCTTCACGTTGACTTGATTTATTTCTTACTAGATTTTGAGTTCTCTGGTGCACATGAGATTTATGGCTGGGCACTGAGCACACAGTTGGTGCACGTCGTAGGGTGCTGGTAGGATGGTAGAGCACACAGAGACTGCTCTCCGGTTGCTGACCTTTCTTTTTGAATACCCAGATTTATCTCAGTTGTTTCATTCATTCACTGAGTACTTATTGGTTGCCTCTTCTGTTGCAAGTGGGTGAGTGTTTCTGCATTATAACCAGTTCAGCTTTGGAGCTCATGGTAAGTGCGCTTCTCTTGTCCTGTGTCACGGCTTGCCTTTGTGTGGTCTTACACATATCCCTGCATTCTCAGCATGGTATCCAGCTCGCAGATGCTGCTGAGAAACTGTGGAACAAAGGAGACGAACACACCAAATGTGAGAGGCCTGATTTGATCAACATTTTTATTTTTAAAACTACTTTTTAAAATCTGCTTGAAAGGCACAGAGACAGACAGGTAGAGAGAGACCTTTCTTCTGGAGGTTCCTTTCCCAAATGCCCAGAATAGACGAGCTGGGCCAGACCAAAGCCAGGAGCTGGGAACTCTATTCAGGTCTCCCACCTGGCTGGCAGGAACTCAATGACTTGACCTATTACCGGTAGCACCTTGGGGTGAGTGTCGTCAGGAAGCTGAGATCTGGTACTGAGCCAGAACTTGAACCAGGCACTGTGGCATGTGCTGTGGGCATCTCAAGTGGTGTCTTAACTGCTGGGCCAAATGCTTGTTCCACCCCTGATAGCTTTTGAATGAGGGAGTTAAGCTTAGAAGCTATGACTCAAGGAAGGGCGTGAATCCAAGATCCTGCAGCTACTTGGAAAGTGTCTCATTTTTTTCCCTTAAGACTTAGTTTTCTGAGAAGAATAATAAAGGCCCTACAGAAAACTCATCAAACATGACAAATTTTCAAGTCCTTAGTAAAACCACCTTTAGCCTGGTGTCTGACAAGAGAATTCTTTCTCTCACACATACATATTACATGTGTGTGTAGATAAATTATTTTCTTTGCTCTCTTTATCTCTTTATCTTTATCTTCCATACTTGAAACCCAAGCAGCATCTGGGGATGAGAACCATAGAAAAAGGCTTTTTGGTCAATGCCAAGGATATGATCATACTGGAGAAGAGTTGAAATAAAGCAACACTATCTGATATCGAAGTATAAAGATCATAGGGATTGGAATAAGATTTGGACTTGAGTGCTTTCTTTGTCACATACCAGCTGAGAATCTTGGCAAAAATCAATGAATTCCCTGAGCCTTTTTCCATTTGCCTTCAAATTATGTCAATAGAATGCTCATACACATTTTGGGAGCTTAATCTGTATCTTCACGTCAATGTCTTTAACACCTGCCATAGCATTTGGTATGCAACAAAAATATAAATCATCATAAATGATTCTCTTCCAAATATTTGAATGTAACAATTCACTAAATTATTTTTTTAAAAATTTCTTTAAGATATACAAACTTCATGCATTTCATATATATAAATTTAGGAACATAGTAATTTTTCTCACCCTATGAGATGAATTACTCCCTCTCTCCCCACTCCCACCCTTCTTCCTCCTCTCTCTCCTATTCCTCTCAATCTTTTCAAAGATCTATTTTCAGTTTTCTTTATACTGATAAGATTAACCCTATAGTATGTAAAGAGTTCAACAAATAGTATGAGGACAAAAGACCACTGTTCCTCAACGGTAGAGACAAGGGCTGTAACCAATCATTGAACCTCAAAATGTCAATTTCACTCCTATACATTACATTTTAGATACTCTACTAGTTACCACAGATCAGGGAAAACATATGGTATTGGTATTTTTGGGAATGAGTAATTTCATTAAGTATAATGGTTTCCAGTTGCATCCATTTTGTTATAAAAGATAGGATTTCATTATACTGCTGAGTAGTATTCCATAGTGTATATATGCCATAATTTCTTTATCCAGTCATCATTTGATGGGCATCCGGGTTGGTTCCATATAAATTCCATATAAGAATTTTGACTAAATTCTTATAGAAACATTATGAGGTTGGTGCTCTTAAATTTGAGGAAGGACTTGGGGAATGGAATGCCACTAGCGTATCAGCAAACAAATCAGAGTGACCATGTGCCATAAAAAGATAAGGTGTAGTTTGGTTTATGACATCTCATTTCATCTTCACGAGAGCTCTTTGAGGAAGACGTAACCATCACAGTTTATAGATTTGGAAACTAAATTCAGGTAAATTCAGTAATTTAGTAAGTTGCTTAGTAGTCATCCACCTATTAAGTGGCAAATATATGGTCTCAACCCAAGTTGACTGTCTGCAAAACCTGGTGCTTCCAGAATTGGTGAGGGAAGGGAAAAGGGGAGGAAAACAGAGGAGCATGAGGAGCCTCCTGAGGAATATACAATGCTCCAGGCAGAAAAAGTGTGGCCTTGCACCCCTCTGCATCCAGCACCATTTCAAATGCTTGCTTACTCTGAGTCAGAAGCAGGTGTCCCCAAAGCATCTTTGTTCTGGGAAAGGTCCATGAGAGCAGGAGAGGATAAGGAGACAGTTTCCAGAGAAATCTGAGAGGGCAGGAGGAGGGCAAAGCATGAGACATGTACCTGTGGACTCTTTCCAACATGGCCTTGATGATAACTCAGAATCTTGCTGGTAGAGTCCTGATGTGACACAGAGCATCACATGCTGAGAGACAGGGAGTGTCTGCTTGCATCCCCTTGTCTCTCTCCCTTTTCTTACAAAGCTACTTGTATTCAGTTATGAGGACTCCACCCTGATAGCTTTCTCTAACCCTAATCACCCCAAACACCCTACTTATAAATATTATAGTTGGATTAAGTTTCCATGCTTTTTAAAATTGAGAATTTTAATTTATTTGAAAGGCAAAGAGAGATAGACAGAGACAGAGACAGACAGAGAGACAGCTTCTATTCACTGATTCACTATTCACATTCCTCAAATGCCCAACAGCTGAGGCTGGGCCAACCTGAAGCCAGGAACCCAGAACTGAATCTGGGTTTCCCATGTGGGTGTCAGGGACCCAAGTCCTTAGGCCTTCACCCTCCTAATACCTCAAAATTGGGATTAAATTCTAATGAGTGTAGAAGGGACACACCATACTGGAACCATGGCATGAACTTGGGTGACAGCACCTGGAACCAGAACCTGGCCCTAATCTGTTTTTTGAGCTTGGACCTGCCCACATCCTCCCCTTCAAGACTGTGTATTGCTCAACTGAACAATCAGGAAACTGGGTCGGCTGACCTTCACAAGCCCTTCCTGCTCTATATCCTGTGGTCTTAATTTGTCATTTTTAATTTTAGCTTCCCACACCTTAGGGAGGGTGATCCAGGTCCAACTTTGGGAGAGGAGAGGATTCTGGACTGAAGTTTCAGAAGCCTCTGTTTATGCCACATCTCTGCTGAGCTCCCTACTGTGGTAGCGCTGCAGTCTTCCCACACCATGTGTCTCAGGCAGTGTACGAAATACTTCAGACTCTTACTGATCTAATTAGATGGCCTAAGGTGGTCCATGGGGCTAGAGAGGGGTACCTCAAAGGTTGATTTGAAATGCCTGGCCCAGCCAGGCCTGACCATGAAATCTTCAATGAGTGAGTTACTAACCTCCCCACAAGGCAGTTCTGTCCTCTCTAACAGATGGTAGGAGCAGTGCCTACGTGACTGGGTTGGGCTGAAGAGTAAATGTGGCAGATTTTATAGAGCACTTAGAGGACTACCTGGCTTATAGTATGCACTCAATGATAAAAGTTACTTTTGTAACTTTAAGCAACGCTCTCATCTTACACATTTTAAGAATATGAACCCTAAGGAAGTTTAAACGACTTGTTCAAGGTCCTGGGATAAACATGTACTAGGAAGAGGGGTGAGAGTTTTAGGATATTTGGGTTGTCTTCCAGCTCAGGACATGGAAGTCCCTGGATCATGCCTGACCTGCTCATTGCTTCTTCTCAACCATGGTCATTTTTCTGCTCCATATCTGATGCAGGTTGGTAAGACCAGAAGCAAGGTCAAGCATGTTGGCCCCTAAGGTGCTATCCCCAACCCAAGTTCAGCACAACCTATGTCTAGTAAGGTATCTCACCATCACACTGATGACTCTTCCCAGGAGCCTGGAGATTGGTGGGCAGAGGGCAGATGCATGAGGGGGAGGGTGGCCTTTATCCAACAGCATCTCCAACTGCATCTGGGGTTGTGTCCAAACTGACCACACTCTAACTTCCCTGTGTAGCGCACAGGCATTCCTAGAGGAAGCATAGTCCTTGGCCTCCCTCCACCCTCACTAAAAATTTGTTTCTTAAATTTATTTTCTTTATATTTGAAATCTGGATGGAGAGAGAGAGAGAGAGAGAGAACGAAAGAAAGAAAGAATATCTTCCATTGACTGGTTTAAACCTCAAATGTCCACAACATCCAAGGCTTGGCCAGGCCTAAGAAGCCAGGATCTCATTCTGGGTCACCTGTACTGGTGAACACAGGGACCCAAGTACCTGAGTTATCACCTGCTGCCTCCCAGGATGCACATTAGTGGGAAGCTGGATTGGAAGCAGGGGAGCCAGGACTCAAACCAGGAACTCCCTTAGAAGACGCAGAAGACAAAGTGACAATTTAAGCTGCTGTGCCAAATGCCCACCACACCTCACCCTCATTTTTTTCTGTTGTAACAGAAAAACCTGATTTAAAATTTCCATCCTCTTGTTAATTTGGATGCAAGTCTGGTCATCATAGTGTGCTAATCTCATTGGAATTTGAAATATCTTTTCCTAGAGTACACTGAACATAGATGAAGCCATGACTGAAAAACAAACTGGCAATGACTCAAACTCCAGATACTAGTCTATGTTGTTGATGTAGCTCCGCCCCCACCATATGATGAAATAGTCACTGTGTCTTGCCAAAATTAGATCTGCATTATTTGATGTAAAAAAATGTATTTGGTATAATTAATGGCCACAAAAGAAAATTCACAATAATGAAAGCTGTAATTAATAAAATGGGATAGGAATAATAAGCTGACTCAGTGACTCAATCTATATGTGATTGCAATGAAGAATTCATCTTGAAGAACATAAAACAGAGAAAGTGAAGAAGAGAATGGAAAATATAGCATGCCTTACTTGTAGTCCAATAATGATTTGTATGTATGTCCACATCCACGAATAAGTAGTATACATCCTTGGGGTGGGTGGGGTCCCAGCATCTGATGAATCAAAGGTGCAAGGTCAAACTGTCAAATTCATACTGACTTCCACTTGGCTCAGCATAGCGGTTTATGTAAAATGTCTGATGATTCATTACTCTAGATAATCCTGGCTGGATCCACTATTTGACATCCTAAT